CAAAAATTGCATCTGGAACATTTTTAGATTAATAGACTTCAATTATTTTAATGAAATAAAATTTTAATTATTTAAAAATTAAAGATAAATAACATTAAAATTGCACTAGACTCCAGCTCAGGGTAGTGGTCCACACATGAGACATTTACAGGCAAGATAAAGTCATTCTGATTCTTCTAATGACGTACTGTCCTAGGACAAGGGTCAAACCAGATTCAGTTATAACAAATTTTCTTCTATGACTCCTCAACAAAACATCAAGTCATCTAAAATTTTAATTAAAACAAGTGGGGGAACAATCAGCAACTTCCTATAAATACCATTATTATTCAGCATTTATATTCAAAGTACAGAATTCACTTTAGAGATTTCTCCAACAATACTTAATAAAGTCAGAAACGAACAGCTTCATTTGTGGATAACAGCCTACTGATATTTGGAAGTGCTCTCTCAAACCTTCAACATAAGGTTTAACAATACTACAAACATATAATAGACTATTTAATGATCTCAGCCGAAAACAAGTTAAAAGATCATAATGTAAGAAAGATCAATTTGTTTTAAAAAGTACTAAATTATAAAACTGAGGGAAAACATCACAAACCATGAACTTTTAAGTCTCTTCCAAATATATCAAAGATTTCTTTCTGAGACTGTAAGTATGTGCCCCATAGTAATGCAATTATAAATTCTCTGGAAGACTTTGGGGACAACTTAATTGACTTTCACTAGTAAATTAATTCTACTAATGATAATAAACAATTAGTAAATAAGGTAATTGAGGGACTTTATAGCTTATATTTTACAATGTAACCATTTTGATGAGTTCTAATTTATGTTTCTAGAGCAGTGACAATTTAAAAATGTTTTATGTTATAATGGAAATCATTAAAAATAATCTGGCAATTCAATGATACAGACAATCTTTCAAACTCACAAACAGCTGACTTCTCTAATGTTTTAATTTAATAACACTGCCTATATTCTATTCTGTGGTGAAACTACTTGCATATTAAAGTTAAAAATTAATGGTCCCAGGGTTTCTATTAATAAATGAATTCCAGGTTTAGAGATAATTTTGTCATGTCTGCTTAGTCCAACTGGTAACCGAGTAACTCAGGTACAATGTACTCACACCATGTGTATTGTCACAGGACCAAGTCAGACTATGTCATTTATTAACCGAAATAAATCTTCCTTCAGCTTTAATAAACTCACAATTATCCCAACAGGAACAAACCTATTTGATATGACCTTGATAATAAGATCATTATTCTATGCTGGGGAGAGTGAAACCCTAATACTTAAACGTATCTATGTTGTTCTAATTATTTTATTAGAAAAAACTTAGAAACACTTGAATTTAGGCATTTTCATGTGTTTGATACCACAATGCCAAAAAAAAAA